ACAAATAGTCATCCCTCTCTAAAGCCCCCAGGCAAACACATCATCACTCTTGCTCTGAGAAAAGCTGATTCCATCACCTGCCTGACTTCAACTTCCCTTCAGATTTCCACTGAAGGAGCAATGCTCATATGGAGAGGCCAGCTGTTAAGATATGGGCTCCATCTTCCAGCCCAGAGATGGCTCATGGTCACTACCACTCCTTGTCATCCCTCCCTTCTGGCTGGAAGGCAGCACCTCTCGGTCTGTGGAAGCAAAGAATAAGGGTTTTCAGTGCGGCAGGTGGTAGCTTTTCAAAGGGCCTCTGTGAGTTTTCGCAGAAGCCCTTAACTTCAGGCCCACAATCTGGAGAATGTCCATTTGACTGTCATAATAGCTAATAGCTAATGCTTACTAGGCACTGGGTGCTGACAGTCATCCAGCACTTTGTATAAACTGACTTAATCCACATGGAAATCTCTAATAACTTATTGTAACTACTGTATTTACCAGATGAGGAAACTGAGGCCCAAGAAGCTAAGTCACTTGCAACTAAGAGACAAACAGAGCAACTGGACCTGGAGTACTTGCTTTCAAACACCATTTTATACTTGTTTCTTGTGGGTGATGCTGTGATCAAATGGACTATCACACATTTATTGGGTACCTATCATATACTAAGGCCCCTGGTAGGGATTTTACATATAGCGTCTCTGAAAGTCACAAGTTACCATAGGTTTTGCCCCATTTTATAGGTGAGAAAACTGGGTGGGCTCCTGTGTTAAGTAGTGTGACCAAGATCACAGAGCTCATGCTGTTTCTAATAAACCCTGTCATAACTTGATTTCATATCCTTTGGAACCCATTTTGTCCATGTTTTCAAAAATATTTTCCCCTACAGTTTCAGACTCTGAACTCAGTAGGACCTGCAGCCAGTGCATTGGGAGTGGTCTTGTGTAACAGGGTTGCATCAGGCTTCTCTGAAGAGCAGCTGAGAGGTGTGGGGGCATTCCAGGCCTCTCAGGGACAGCTCCCTGGAGAAGTCAAGCTTAGTATCCATTTCTTTATGGCCACAACCCCAGTTCCACTCTTCTGCTGGGACATTTGTGCCTCGTCTTCAGGCTTCAGGACAGTGGTAGCCTCCTCACATAGTCTTTGCACTGGTAGGTTTATTTCTGGACACTCATTTTAATTTTGGCAAATGCTGAATTATATATATATATAGTTGCTTCTATGAATTCTCTGAAGTCTGCCTACGGAGCATTGGTGTTCCCACTCTGGTTTCTGATTGCTCATGAAAATCAAATTGTTATAGTCACATTTTCGCTGTTATTTCTTTTTTTAAGGCAAGTGCTCAAATCTTTCTTTGATTACAACACTCATCACTATACTTTGAATGTGCTTATGGATCTTTCCCCATCCCTAGTCAGCCAGGTTCTAGAAACAAGAAATCTAACTGCCTGCAGCTATTTAAATTTAAGAAAATAAAGTTAAATGAAATAAAAAATTCAGTTCCTCTGTGGCACTAACCACATCTCAAGTGCTCAATAGTCACATGGGGCTGGCAGCCACTGAACCAGACAGTGCAGACAGAACAACTTTACCATTAGAGTGAGTGCTGTTAACAGTACCATTCCAGTAACAGGGACCATCTTCTATATTGCCATATCTCTAATACCTGCCTGGCTGGTGGTAACTGCCAAATGGGTACAATGGAGAGAACCTTTCTGACTTCAGCCCATATCTCTTCAGACTACATGTGTCACTAGGGCTGCCAAGATTCACAGGCAGTACGTCCTGAGCTCAGTGGCATTACCAGTCACTCTCCTCTTGGGCTCCATGGAGGCCAGGAGGGAGCTCTTGGCATCACAGTAGACAGTGGAGCATACTAGAGGAATCTTTCCAGTGGTGACATCACTACCTCCACCACCTCTGCATCTTCCAAGGTATGTGTAATCCAGAGACTTCTATTTTTAACTGGCTTGTGGTCCTGGATACTTATTGAATGAGGAAAAGTTGTTTGCATCGTACAAACCAGCAACAAGAAAGTTAATCATTCTGGAAGGCTTGCATGGCTTTGGAACTGAGCCAAGTGTTTTGGAGACTATAGAAATTCAATCTTCTTTGCTCTCTGAAACTAGCCTCTTCCACTGGCTTCCACCTCCTGAGAGCCACAGCACTGGAGTCCATAGCACCGAGGCAAGGGCTGTCCTGTGGGTGCCCTGTAAGGTGGGTAGAGCTCTGCATACAGGGCTCCAGGTCTGGGATCTAGGTCCAGCACTGCCAGTGGCAGTGGGCTGGTCTGTGGGCTAAGAACATTGAACCCTTTTCAATTGGAAAATGCTAAAGCTTTGCTATTCCCTTCCCACTGTCTTCAAGAACATTGGCCTATCTTCCTGGCCAGGCTATGAATCTTGAGGGTAGGGATCAGAGCTGTTGGCACAGGCTGGCCATGGAATAATGCAGACTGATACTCCAGAAGCAGGGTTTGGGGTATGCTCTTGTATTCCCTTTCCTGTCTATATAATGGGGGGCAGGTGTTACCTTTCTAGTGCTCCATATACCATAATCGGGTAATTTAGGTACTTTCTTATCCCAATGCCCCCCCCCCTTTTTCATTTCAGTTCTTGATTATCAGAATGTCGATCACATTCTTATCTCTATGGGAGTCAAAAAAAATTTGATGTGGTAACTTATGATATTTTCAAATAAAAAGGAATTCCTTTCTTGGACAGAGTGACAAGTTTGGGTAACATAATCCCACTGTGCAACTCCAAGTGGGGGTGCCGTTCACATATATATACCACTAGTTCTATAATACCATGAGTTCTTAATCTTCAGCCTGCTAGGTTTTACTTGTGGTACTCCTGAAGGCACACAGCATAGGTTAGGTCACCTTTATCTAGGCCCTGTGACTTTAAAGCATCCTATTCAGTAATTCCTTCTAAGACATTGCTAGTCTCTCCCTGAGCCCCAAATCACTGTTACTAACTGAAGTTTAATGTCAGAGAAATTAACATGACTAACACTTTGATACAAGTTGAAGGGAGGGAAGAGGGGTTGTGGGCATTTATTCTCAGTCTTGAGAGTGTCCTGAGGAATATGTGACAGTCCCTCCTCACCCTTCCTTAGGAGAGAGCAGTGGTGATCACATGCCAACTGACATGCACCAGGGCACCTCTGCACTGTCTTACCACCTGGGTTTGCCATTTATCTACTGAAGCAATTTCAAGAGTGATTTAATAGGCCTTGAGAAAGCTACGCACCATAACAAGATCCTTTCCGTTGGCTAGCCCTCCACACTTGAAATGAATTAGTAGACTTTTTTCTTTTGCATCAAATAATGCATCTTATAAAAAAAATAAGCATAGGCTTAAAACTAATATATTTTTATTAGAAATCAGACAATAGTTAATCTTGGGGGATATTTTTTAATTGGGAAGAAGAACATGGAGTCAGTTCATTACTGGTAATGTTCCATTTCTTTTTCTTTTTTGACAGGGGGACAGGGGGTTGAACTTAGGGGTACTGAGCTACATTCTCAGTTCTTTTTTTTTCAGTTTTGAGACAGGGTCTTGCTAAGTTGCTAAGGCTGGTCTCAAACTTGCAATCATCCTGCTTCAGCCTCCTGAGTTGCTGGGATCACAGGTGTGCACCATGGCACCTCGTGTAATGTACCGTTTCTTCACATTCATGTTCCCTTCACGAAAGACTTATGGGTATTTACAGTTATGATTTGTCTATCTCTCAATATGCTACAAAATAAAATTTCTTTAAAGCAGCTTTTAGAGGCTTGCCTTAGAAAGCATTCACAGATATGTATAACTTATTTAAACAGGTAGGTGGCTTTATTTCCAAAAGAGAGTTAGCAGTTTGTTAAGACTAGTGGATACTGGAAGGGAGAAGAGTAGACAGTAGAGGAGGTGATCTCATTCTGCCTGGGTTCTTCTGAATACAGAGTACAAGTCCTCAGTGAATTCATACTTTCTCAATTTCACTTTTCTTTGGGGGTATATGAGAAGTGAACGGATTGCATGAAAAACTGGGCTGGGAAGTGCCTCCTTTTACTCAGAGCCAGGCCTGGTAACAGAGGAAGGTGATTTTCTTGGGCCGTGTGCTTCAGGGAAAGTGTGGAGCCAGGCCTTTCTTTGTAATCAAACCACAGATGATTTCTTCCAGCATGACCTGGCTCCTGAATGCCGAGAAGAGACCAATAAACCAGGGCCACCTGGGCACCAGATGTACAGAACTCTTTGTGTGTTAGAAGAGGGAGGAGGTGCAGAGCTGCACTGGGAAATGCCCCCCAACAGCAGTGTCTCTTCCTGCCGGTTCCCTTCTCCTCAGCACATGTGGGGGCCTGGGTCAGCAGCCCCACTTGCACATGAGCAGGTCTCCTGCACGCCCTGTACTGGCGGGTCGCCAGCTCTCCCAGGTCTCCATTCAGCTTCTGAGAAATATTGAGGCTGAAGAGATTCCTGTGTACACAGGCTTAGCCTGTGAAGGAGTGTAGATGGACGGGAGCCATTTGCAGGAAAATATTTGGCTCTCAGGCATTCTCCTTCATATGATCCACAAAATCGTGAACTCTTTCCTCAAATGAAGTCCCATCTGTTTCTTTTGCAAAACCAGGGTCCCAAATTCAAGTCTAAAGAAATCCCAGTTAGCCCTCTTTCTTGATGGTTTTGTTGTTGATTTTTTCTTCAAAGACATCTGTATTGGGTTGATAACAGTACAAAAAGGGACCCCAGGTCCAGCCATCTCTGAGGAGTCCTGGACTTCCACTTTGTTTCCATGGAACAAATGAGTCTCATTGGTGACAGGCCCACATTCTCCTCCTGTGCCTGGCCTCTGATTCACGGTCAAAATGGCACCGAATCTCAGCACTGCATGCAGTCTGTTTTCAGCTCTTTTATGGAAATTATTTGATACCACTGTGGGCCTTCCCTGTTTTTCCTGTCCTAATATACTAATTTTCTTTGCCGAGAATTGTCTCAATTAAATCTTCTTATTGAATATATTTTCAGACTGGATTTTTCCATCTACCACATGGAGACTTTTTCATTGAGCCTGTTAAAAAGCATCCAGTGGCTGAAGGTGCCCACCCACACATCGTTTACCGGAGGCAGAGAGTTCAAGAGACAAAGGAGCCAGCCTGCGGATTAAAGGGTATTGTGACTTAAACATCTTCACAGGTTGAAGAGTTGGCTCTTTTCATTGACCTCTTTTTATTCAAGCCCATTACCTGCTCTCTATTCTACTGCCAGAAAGTATGAGCCTTGTATAAATTATTTCATTTCTCTATGCTCAAGTTTCTTTATATTGTTAATGGGAAGCAGGAAAAAGGCGCTTCTATATCCTTTTTCCATTAGTTGGCGAGACTCATATAAGACATTCATAATAGTATATTGGTTTTAAAAATACAACTTTTCTGAACATTTAGAGGAAATCTAGCTTAAAGACTCCATAATCAATGTTAACATCATTAAATACATTAGTGGGTAATATTACCAGATAGCTCATCACACCTGCATGTGAAAGCAGATTTAAATGTTTGATGATACTGAGGATGATGAATGGAGGGACAATGAAAAACATGTCAACACATTATTAGATAATGTACTCTGCAGAGCTGCTTCTGTCTGTGTTGTGTTCTGTTCTGCCTGGTGTTTGCTGAGCTCTGTCCCCTGCCCTTGTGCCCTGGATATGATCTGTTCTGCCCTTCTCTGTCTTGTCCTAAGTAGTTAACGGAGCTTTCAGAGATAAACTGACCCAAGTTATTTCCTTGCAAACCCGCATTCTCTTTAATGTGCAAGAAATAGTAAGCTATGAATAAAGGGCTATGGGAAATTGAGACATTTCCTTAAATATTCCATATTTCCTTTCTTCAGAAGGGAAAGTAAACAACGCCAGAATGACAGTTAACTAGAGAAATAAAGTAACATCCCTTTATTTCTTAACAATTTGGAACACGGACTTCAAAGGGAAAACAAGGAGATGATAGAGGAGTGAGGGAGCCAGGATGACATTGCAAACAGGAGAAGGGATGGACAAGGGGACAAGTGACTGCTCTAAAGACCAACATCACCCACTTTCCCTACACTTGATAGCAACTTTTCTGGGAATTCTTCTATAACCTTAGCAGTGTGTGTACGCAATAAGAAACTTGAGCCTCTAATGTCTGTAGTGTTTTCTGGGTACCAAATCACACAGTTATCATTCATTAGCAAGTGATGTCAACTACCTTTTAAATTAAAGGATTTCTTGTACAAATCATCTAGCAAGTGCTTAAAGAAGAGATTCATCACCTGCTGACATCATTGTCAAAGGAACCAATCCAGATAATAATCTCCATGGGAATTTTAGGACTCTCTTTCACTGCCACTGACACCTGGATTGTTGCCCAATTCATATTACATGTTGGGGTGATGGAGAGCATGTTGTGCATGTGATTCGATACCTTTTAGAGGACATCCCAGATGTAGGTTGCCAATGTGACTGTTACTAAGGCTGGGGGAGAATTTGACTACACAGTTGCTCTGTGAATTGCATTAATTCCTCATCCATCCTCCTTAAACGAGGCTCTCTCCTGTAACTATCCTGTTGAGGTAAGATGATTAGAAATGGATTGGGGCTAGCTAATATGTAGTCATTAAAAAAAGGGATGAATAGAGAAAGAGTGGGGTTCATAAATGCCACAGACCCCATGAGCTCACACAGAACACCACAATTACTGTGCTTGTCGTACTAGTTCTTATTGTGCTTCTAGGCCAATCTTATGGCTTTGCACTTCTATAGAACTTTCGGTGGCTCATCCAACCTGCCAATGAGCTATTTGTTCTGCATTTTTCTACACATTTCCTGGAAGACACTCTCTTCTACTTTCCCAGAACCAGAATTGATCTGCTGTGCTGGAAGGACCTTTCAGAGCACCTAGTGACGTCTTCCTCCACCAAAGAAGTGGTTGTCACTTAGGGAAGGCAGTGGATTTTCAATGAAATCCATTTAGTTTGTGTCAGAGCAAGCCAGGATTCCATGGGAGCTTTTTACTGCCTTATATTTCTTCTTTTCTTATTCCTTGAATATAAGTCTTGTTTCTCCAGCGTCATCACAAGCCCATTGAGTAGAGGCTCCCTCCAACCCAACATTGTACAGCATAGTGTTAGGTGCAAAGCAGGAACTAGGAACTCAGTGACTCACTGACAGGACACTGACGCAGGAGTGGTAGCCAAGAAGATGAAGCTAGTGTACACTGGCTTCTAGTTCAGCACTGACAGAAAGGAAAAAGAACTGTGCCTTTTCCAGTTATGGAGGAAGTGTGACTTGTTTGGGACCATCCCTCTTCCTAAGAGAATAATGCTTAAATGATAGCTAGATAGTCAAGAATCTCCACCGTGCTTGTGAAACAATACGTGGCATTTGGATTTTGAAAATCTTGGTAGAGTGAATTGTACGTGGTCTTGCTGTTCCAGATAATTGCACCGTCCTTTGTCATGTTACCCTGCAGAGATGATGGAACTGACTGACAGCAGTTATGTCATTGGCCAACATTAAAGTACACTTTATGCTTAGGTCAATTGATGTTGTGTGAATCACTGTGGTTATATTTAAAAAATCATCTTTACCATGTGTAAAGCATTCTCACTTTGAAGTACACTTCAAGAAAGAAGATATCTCAATTATTTTATCCCCAAATCTGGCACTTCCCTTAATTTTATTTGATACATAGAAAGTTTCCAGGAATTTCATAGTATGACCTTTATTAATATGACTTAATTTCTTTTTTTAAAAAAGATTTTAACATAATGCTATTAGGCTCATCTTGGTATTCTAAGTATGAATCCAGGTTAATGTTTGTTGATTGAGTGATTTGCAATGGGATGCTACAAATGTGAGTGGACACTGGTCTTACCTGGACATGGAACTAAGCACTGCAAGATCACTTTGAGTCTTGGAGGCAAGGACAGTGTGTTTTTGTGGTAGCAATTAATGTTTGTGTATTTGTCACACAGCTTGATTTATGTCAGTATTTGGAAAATATTTCCACTCCCACACATCCCATTCCTGTGCAGCAGCTGGAAATCTCATAAATAACCATAAAATTGTTTCTTTATGGGGAAAAAAGTTTACTTGTTAGATCTAAAATCAAATATTTGAGGGAATTATCAATGTACCTTATCCTTTAATCTTCTCTTGCAAAATCAGAGAAGTGGATCCCTAGGGTAGTTTCTGGGCCAATGGGACCAAGATTAGAAGGTTCTAGAATTTTGTTTACATTGGTTTGTGTATGGTAGATTGACCTTCCCTTCCTTCAAGAAATGTTAACTTGGTGCTTTCCATGGGCCAGAAACCAAGGGACATAGCTTTAAATATGTCAAGTTGGAACTTACCCTCATGAACTTGCTGTCTACTGAGAAAAGAACTTTAAAATGATAAAAATCATATCTATGAACATTGTCACATGCTGTGGGTGTATACAGAGGAACCTGACACACCAGGAGGGTTGAGGATGGCTCTCCTGTAGGAAGCCTTTTAAAAGGAGGCATTGATTCTTTGGGAGTCATTTTTCCTGAGCTCACTTCTGTGGAATTTACAGGATTTGAGGAATAATGACTCTTTGGAGCTGAACTGTGCCTCCCCAAAATTCATACGTTAAAGTCTTAACCCCCAGAACCTTAGAATATGACTATATTTGAAGATAGAGTCCTTAAAAAGATAATTAAATTAAAATGCAGTCATGAAGGTGAAGCCTAATCCATTGTGATCATGACCTTCTAAGAGGAGGAAATCTGGACACTGTCATATGCATTAGGGGTAAATGTTTGCTGGAGGAACATTCAAGGAACAGAGAACTTGTGAGGAACAGAGAGAGGCAGGTTTCTGCAAGCCAAGGAGTGGCCTCTCTTTCGAGAGGAGAGCAGATAGAAATGGACTAGAAATGGACTAGAAATCAGGAGTACAGTGTCTCGTGCCATCTCTGTCACTCCCAACTTGGGCAAGTGTCCCGGTCTCCATTTCCTCCTCAGTGAGTGGAAGGATTTGGACAATCTTTGTGAATTCTCTTAACTCATTTAAGTTGTGAGTCTCTTTCTATTTGTACTCTGCAGTACCTAGAAACGGTCTTGACGTCCTTCAGTCATACTAGTGTGGTTTAAAAACTGTTACGTGGGATTGTACGTGCTAATGCTCTTAAGACATCTTTACCTAAAGGCAGAGACCTCACCCGTGGTTCCAGGAGCCCTATGTCTGCTTCCCAGGTGCTCTTATTTCCCTGATCTTCTGCTCCCTTTGCACCCTGGCCCCATCCCAAACAGCTGGACCCAAGACTGTTGAGCACAGGCTGCTGCTCCCTGCACTGTATCCCCGACCCAGAAAAACCAACCAGGACCTCAAGTGGAGGCAGCAGAGCCTCAGGGTCACTAGTTAGTGGGTGTGTCTGGTCTGTTATCATGGGTCAGAGCATCAAAGGGAGGAGGTGGCTGGCTGTTCCAGAGCCTGAGTCTGGACCCCAGAGCCCTAATACTTATGTGGAGGAGAGGATCATGACATTGCAGCCAGAGTAGAAACTGACATATATCTAGGATACTGATCTTTATCTTGGATTCAGATGTGTTAAACATACATACGCGCGCACACACACGCGCGCGCACACACACACACACACAATTTCTCTTGAAATCTGGTTATTTGGTTAAAAAGAATTTGTATAGGTTTTTGAGTAGTCAGATACAGTGGGGTTGTCATTTTAGTAGTATTTTAACTAAATTAAGCCCCAAAGGTGTGTATGAATGTTTGTGTGTGTGTTTGTGTGTGTGCTTATGTTTTTTCGAGTGTGTTTATATGTGTGGTGTATGTATTTATATGTGTGTATTTCTGTGTGTGGTGTATGTTTGCCCATGCATGTTTATGAGTATGTTTGTGTGTGCTTATGTATGTGGTCATATTTTTGCATGTGTGTGCTTCTGTGTGTGCACAGCATGTGTGTGTGTGGGGGGGTGTGCATGCATATTTAAACACCCATACACTGTTGGCTGCAGGAGGCAAAGGCTTGCTGAGCTGTGATGACTTGGTGATTTATGGAAGTTCTTTCTGTTTTTTTAATATATACCATGTTGAGATTCTGATGTATTCTCTAGTTGAAAGAGGAATTCTTTGTTTAAGCTAACTGG